GATTCCTAATTCAATCTAGAAAAAAAAAATATACCCAAAAGAAAGCACACAAGTATAACAAAGATAAATGTGGAGTTTAATAACATTGAAAACAGAAAAATGGTAGAGTAAATCCATTAATCAAAATTCTGGTTCTCTGAAAAAAAAAATGTACAAAATAGACAGATCGCTAGCTAATTTAATCAAGGAGAGGAGCAGGGTCAGAGAGAAAGGGAGAGATATTTGAAGAGGGGACTCTGGCTTTCAGGATGAAAAAAGCCAAAAGCCCACAGTGCAGGCAGCCTCCAAACCCTGGGAAAGGCAGGAAATGATTCTCCTCAAGCTTCTGAATGCAGCTGAGTCACGGTAACCTATATGCAAGCCTTTGAGGAACTGCCAGACTATTTTCCAATGTGACTGCACCGTGTTACATTTCCAACAACAGTGTTTGAGGGTTTTAATTCCTCCACATCTTCACCAACACTTGCTATTGTGTGTCTTTTGTACTATGTCTATCCTAGTGGGTGTGCTAATTTAAAACTCCTAGAACGGCCATGTGCAGTGGTGCTGGGGACCTTCTGAGTCCACTGATGTGAGAACTCCAGTGTTTAACTCAATGTTCAACCTCTGGGCCTTGCCTTTACTTACTGTCTTTCTTCATTCTACACATTTAGACATTATATACATTTATTTCTATTTATATATATTCTCAATCTCTTGCATTTAACCCTTAACCACTATTTCCAAAAGTGTTGCATTAAAGATTAATGCTTCAGCCCTAGCTGGTTTGGCTAGGTGGAGAGACTGTCAGCCTGCGGACTGAAGGGTCCCAGGTTCGATTCTGGTCAAGGGCACATGCCTGGGTTGAGGGCTCGATCCCCAGTAGGGGGCGTGCAGGAGGAAGCCGATCAATGATTCTCTCTCATCATTGATGTTTCTATCTCTCTCTCCCTCTTCTTTCCTCTCTGAAATCAATAAAAATATATTAAAAAAAATAAAATTAAAGATTAATGCCTCAGACCAACTTTCATCCTTCTATGAATTAGCAGTAACCAATTTTCTGAGACTAATGTGAATCCAGGAAATTAAATAACCAAAATGAAAATGAATGTCTACATTCCAACTGCCCACAAAGAAAACCGAATTAAAGCCACTGCTGACTGCAGTCGGCTCTGCTGTAATGAGACATCTATGTTCCTAAAAACCACACAATAAAAACCGGAGCTCATGGGAATAACAGACCTAGGGCACAACATCCCAACACTTTATCAGTGATACATTAAAAGAAAATAGGAACATAAAAACAGTAGCAGTTTCAAACATGCCAAATGGTCAGGAGATACATAAATACCATAATAAATGTGACAGGTTATCTTGGAGAAAAAAAAAGACCAGAGGGTTCCTGAGGTGGTGGGAGGCAGAAGGGCTGTGGCTCTTGGTTACTATGCAGTGGAGGCAGGAGAGTGCTGTCAGATGGAAAGCTGTCCCTCCAGATACGGAGCAGTGTGACCCTAGCTTGTGTTGGGCCGAGGCAGCTGGCAAATGTTGGGGGAGGGGGGGATGTCTTCCTATGCAGCCCGGTGCAGGTGGGTGCAGCCTTCTGTGTTCATCGCACGTTCCTTGCGGACCAAATGCACACAGGTAAACGGGAAAAGTGTTCATGCCCAAACCATTCCCTCATACACCAAGTGCACTGGAATATACGCAGTTTCAAACACGTGCTGGGGATGAACGATCCCAGCAATGGCCCCAGCACAGGCTCGGTGTCACTGTCACACACATTCGCAGTCATTGGAGCCCGATCCTCAGCCCGCAGTGCCCTGCTCCAGCACTGACACTGCCCACCTGTCACCCCGAGGACCACCTTATGTTATCCTATCTGAAATGGGAGCAAGATCTCAAATACCCCCCCCCCCCCGCCAATAGCTCCCTTGCCCTACCTTTCTTCCTCTAAAAGCCTTGCGTTTTAAATGTATATATTTGATTGATTTTGGAGAGGGAAGTAGAGATAGAAACATCAATGATGATAGAGAACCATTGATCGGCTGCCTTCTGCACGTTCCAAACTGGGGATGGAAACTTCCTCCCCCAGCCCTCCCCCTCCCGGCCCTCCCCTGGCCAGCAGGGCTCTGGTGGTGGGTGCAGCACTGAGGGAAGGAGGAGGGGGAGGGGAGGCGGGGACCATGGGGTGACAAGGTGCGGAGGGCAGTGATGGTGCCTGGTGTCTGTGGCTTCCACGTCCAGACCAATGACAGTCACCTCCTCTCCCAACCCCACCGGGCCTTCAGGTCCTCTCTGCCTGGCCCTGATCAGCCCTATCACCCATCAGGCTTAGGGACCCCACCTGTGCATGTATTTCATGCACCAGGCCTCTAGTTTACGAATAAAATAGTTTACCAGCAGAAGGCAAAGGTCTAGTTAGTGAAATGACTCAGAACCAGCTAACGATAACCTTAATACTCAGTATTTAAAATTTGTTTGCAGCCAAAACCGGTTTGGCTCAGTGGATAGAGCATCGGCCTGTGGACTGAATCGTCCCAGGGTCTATTCCGGTCAAGGGCACGTACCTTGGTTGGGGGCACATCCCCAGTGGGGGGTGTGCAAGAGGCAGCTGGTTGATGTTTCTCTCTCATCGACGTTTCTACCTCTCTATCCCTCTCAATTCCTCTCTGTGTATATTCAATAAGATATATTTTTTAAAAATTTGTTTGCAGTGGAGAGAAACATAATCAAGAAAGAGGAACAAAGAATCCACCTTGTAAGTCATCAAAGTGCTTTATTCTGTAAAGCCCGGCTCATGACGAGTGTATTGTTAGCACTAGGAGATACAAGGCAAACTTCCTCACTCAGTCCAAATAGTTTATCAATAGAAATGAATGACAGAGACGGTTACAGACAAAAATAAAGCATGTTGTAAACTAAAAGCATACAGAGATTGGCCACAAAGGAAATAGTTACTCAAATAATGTATGTGTACCTTATCCTTACTTCAAGGGTCTCACTCTTGTAGTTTTGGGACAAAGAAACTACAGTATAACTTCAGAACACGGAAAGTGGCTAGGCTCCAGAATGAAAAGTGGGGGTGGGGGTTTGGGGACCAGGTCCAACTTGTAGCAAGTCACTTTTGTCCTGGAAGTCTTTTATCCTCTATATGATAAAACACAGGAGGAGGGGGAGGGAGTACAGATTTACACAACCATGTCACAGCAGTGTGAGCGTCATCTGTTTAGGAAAATGACCTATATGAAGTCAGTAGGTAAAGCAGGATGGTGCTGCCGCGGGGTTCCAGAGACACTGGTTTGCTAACCCCTTGTGTTTTCTGAAGTAAACCAATGCCATGGGCGAAGTTACCATCTTGATAAGCCCTGAAGTCAAGTCACTGGAGGAGGCAGCATGAAAGGGGGTGTTTGTTGCGTTGTCAGTAATTATTGAAGGGCGGATTTTTTTCTTTTTCTGAACCTGCCTACAAAAATCATTTAATGTTTTAATCAAAGAATTTCAAAGGCACAGCTTTAGCACAGTGTATAAGTTGATAACCTAGTCTAAGCAAGGCCAGTATTTTAGCTCAGCGCCTTCCAGAAAATGCTGGGAAGTTGGTACATACATGATCGATGTTAGAAATGTTTAACTTGATTAAACACAATCAGCACAGTTTAGGGCAATGAACTTACATAACCAGATTTGGATTAAGCATTAAAAAAAAATCATTAGGTTGATAAAGGTACATCTGGAAGAAACAAAACAACCCTTTCCTTTCACTGTAGAAGACTGCCTACCAAGTTCTTTAATAAAACGTTCACCCCAAAATATGACAGCAGGATACACTTCAAAACATGACAAACATTTCACCAACACTGGAAAATGACTTTACATGTAAACTTCAAAAAATCACATGCTGTACATTAAATTTTTAGATTCAAAAATATCCCTGTTTTCCTAATAATGTAAACAGTAATCTTGAGGGTTTCGGTTAAAGGGATAATTCATAACAAAATACCATTGTCTAAACAACGGCCAAACATAAATACCTTATAATTCAGATTTGCAATCAGGAAGGAGAATTGAGAGTTCTGGTGTTTTGCTCTCAGTCCCACCATAGGAGATGTAGAGACCATTGCCCCAAACTATGCGCTTTTCAGGTAAGCTTTATTTTTATGTCGTAGCATTCATTCCTATGTTGCAACGTAAGTGTAACAGTAAGAAGCTCCAGGCAAGAAAAGAAAAAAAAAAAAAAAAAAAAAAAGGTAAGCTGTTTTCCCGGATGTATTTACTGAGTGACAATGTACAGAGAGGATCACTAGAGGCATCAGCTTCTTGCTGGAGGAGGGTGTTTGTCCCGTGTGGACAGGGCCCTGGGCCGGGACGCGCGCGAGATGCCAGCACGCTCTGTCCGGGGCGGGGGCGTGGGGCCAGCTGTTAGGAGTGTCAGCGTGTGTGGTAGGAGTGTAACATTTGTGGTTAGGTTTTTTCCTTTTCTTTAATCACCATTATTATTATTATCATTATTATTAATTATGAATACTGTCTCACATATTTCAACTCCGAAAAGTAAACTGATCCACAGTTTATCATGTGATGCCAACATGGTTGGTCTGACATGCATTTCCTTTCCCCCTCCCCCCTGAATAAGCTCACTCATCCATCCATCCATCCATTCATTCATTCATTCATCCATCCATCCGTCCACCCATAACTGGAATCAGAAGGTTGTTGCCTAAACACACTGACTGAAGCTGATCTGGTTTTCATTAATTCATTAATTCATTTTGAAGATGCACACGCACACACACATACACACACGTGCGCACACTCGCGCGCGCGCGCACACACAAGTCAGAAATAGCTAGAATGAGGCTGGGAAATATCAGGTAGCTGTTAAAGCGAGTAGCTCCCAAATCAGTCATCTTGGCCTGAAGATGTAAACGAGGAGGTGTGCTCACTGAGTTTGGTTTTTCCTTTTTCCTACACCAAAGCCACCTCGGTCCTTCCCACACTCGTGTCCGTCCGAGATGTGCAGGAGGTTACGTCAAGATGTGGCCAATAAAGTCCAAAAAGCGCTTTGAATACTGTTCTGGGTTCACGGTTGAGATCTCTGCACCGGCCTGGGGAGTTTTTAAAGGAGAGGAATATTGATAGAATTACTACTCAGTAGCTACGGCAATTTCCATCTACAGCTGAATAGAAAGCTAACAGTTTCCGAACCTGTGCAGGCTCCTCTTAGGAATCTGTGTGCAAAGGAGGCCGAGCGGCAGGAACAGCAGAGACTACCACCACACACACGGTGACTGCTGGCTTAAAATAAACCCAACTCGCCACGTGTGGGATGTTTCTGCCATACACTGGAATCTATTTGGCCACACTCAGAAGCCATGCAGACAATATTTTTGGCTTTTGAGAAAGCAGACTGGAGATAACTTGGGAATGACAGGAGAAACATCAACATTTGGCTGCGGAGAAACTCCAATGACAATGATGTAAGCATTGCGTTCATTTTCCTGGATCGTGTAAGCAGGCGAGGGCTGGAAAACAAGAGTGGCAGCAGTGCCGGCTCTTTCCTCGAACCCTAACTGGGAGAGACAGCGCTGGCGACCGCAGAGGGCGGGCCTGCCGCCCCCCGCACGTGGCGCCTCGTTCCCATTCAGAGACCCGCTCCAAGCAAGGATGCTGGGCCCTGGCAACACCTGGGCAGGGGATTTCCTCTCTCAGAGGCAGGCAGACCCAGGTTCCCGAGCTGCCCAGGGGAAGACCGGAGTGTCCCTGGGTCCCCAGGTGCTGCTCTCAGACATCCAAGCACAATGGGGAGTGCCATTTCCTTCTCTGGCCTGGGCCACTGGGTGGCCACAGAGGAGCCCGGGCATCAAAGGCAGAGAATCCTTCCCAGCCGCGCCCCAATGTTCCTTTACCGAGAGTGATGTCTTGTTTCTGCAAACATCACACAATTTCAGGTCCTGGGGTTCACCATGGAGCTGAGCTGGTGACGTGCGGGGGAGATGAAATGGAGCCACATTTGCTGTGGTACATTTCCAATTCCACCCGGAATCGCACAGTAGGGCAGATCCGGGGAGGGATGGGCACAAGCACGGAGCATCTCCCCAGTGTTCAGCCTGCTCATCTCACATACCCCTCCCCCACCCCCCAACAAAGTCCAGTCAGCAAGGTGCTAGACCCCTTTATCCGTTGGGGGAACTAAAGCTCCAAAGTGTGTCCTCAAGGTCGCCACAGGGAAAGGTGAACTAGGGATTATGATGTATTTAGGGCGCCTGGTGGATCCGTAGCATAACGGACACCGACGACTCCGAACCTCAGCCAGGCAGATGGGGTTCACTGGTGGGATGTGGGGGTGGGGAGGGGGGACTACCACAGAGGAGGGGGCTGGGCCGGGCATTGGGAGCAGCCCTATCTCTGCCACTCTCCAGTGATGTGAGCCTGGCAAGTTACCACTTACAACTCTCTCCCTCAGTTTTTCCAAATGCTAAGCAGGGCACACCGGTACCCTTCCTAGGCTTGTCATGGGGATTAACAAGCTAACATAAGCCTGGAACAGTGACAATTCTGAGCAAGCACAACAAAGGTAAGGAATTAAGAAAATAAACGTTGACCTTGCACTAGGAAGATTTCTGTAATAGAAAAAATACAATTCACTGGGGGGGGTGGGGCGGGGGGGAAATACAGACTTCCTAATTTGGAAACACCTAAAGCAGAGAATAGTGCTTCGGTTCTGGATATTTCATATTAAAACACTTAACTATCTTCGGCACTTTTATCTTTGAGACATCTTTCCAACAAAAAAGAATCTGTACAGCAACCTAGAGATGCATGTGTCTACTGAGATCCCCGGTGTGTAAGAGACACTACGTTCAAGTGACCTGCCCCACGCCTGGCTGTGCGGGGAGCGGCTTTAGCATGGCGATGCACTCAGACCCTCTTCAGCGAACAAGAACCACCGGAGGACTTTGAGCATCACGGAGAATAGGAGCAGCCTGGCCTGGCTGGCATGGCTCAGTGTTGACCCCTGAACCAGGAGTTCAGGGTTCGATTCCCGATCAGGGCACATGCCTGGGTTGCAGGCTCCATCTCCAGTAAGGTTGTGTGTGTGTGTGTGTGTGTGTGTGTGTGTAAGAAGCAGTCGATTAATGATTCTCTCTCTTCATTGATGTTTCTCTCTCTCCCCCGCTCTTTCTTCCTCCCTGAAATCCATAAAAATATATCTAAAAACAAACAAACAAAAAGAGCAGCCTGGAGGACTCGAGGGCCCGGGAGCAGGGAAAGAAACAAAACAGGACACTTACGCCGTGTTTGACTGTTTTCGCAGCGTGGGCAGCTTTCTTTTTTGCATCATAGTGGGTCAGAATGTCAATAATCGCCATAAAGTACACCTCTTTCCTGGGTGAGTCTGTAAAGGATGAGAGCAGAGTTGGTACACATGGTAACATGGGGAAAGGCACAAGCTGCAGAAGGAGGGTGAGGGGTTCGGGGGCGGGAAGTGGGGAGTCCAGGCACAAAGGCATCAGAGGCTATTAAAGAACCCCTGCAACCCCTGCATGTCCCCATTAAACAGCTAACTCTCTGCACCACTTCCCTCTAAGCTTACAAAGTAAAAACAAAATAAAACATAACCCCAGGGTATTAACAGTGGAGGGCCAAAGGCAAGAGTTTTTATTTCCTGTTAATCTGCATTTTCCTTAATGATTGTGCATCGCACTGGTATAAAGACACATTTTATTTTTAAAATACTCTATAAGACAAGTAGAAGCAATTATACTATTTAACCCTTTTCTGCCGTTATATGCTAACTAAAGGCCCAGTGTACAAATTCATGCATGGGCGGGGTAAGGGGCTGTGGGTGATTGGACAGTGGGCCTCGTCCCCGATTGGGGTGGGGGTGCCGATTGGGGGCCAGTGGCCTGGAGGAGGGGCCATGGGTGGTTGGCCAGTCGGCCTTGCCCCTGATTGGGGTAGAGGGGCCAATCTGGGTGGGGCTGGGTGGGGGAAGGGGTTGCAGGAGATTGGCTGGCCAGCCCTGCCTCCTATTGGGATGGGGTGGGCAATCAGGAGTGGGCCAGGATGGGGGGAGGGGTCTGGGGCCAGTCAGGGTGGTAGGGGCCCATAGGGGCGAGGCCTGCCAGAGGATCAGGCTGCAGGCTGATCAGGGTGGTGGGGGACCATTGGGGGCATGGTTGGCTGGGGGAAGGGGCTGCAGGAGTTTGGCTGACTAGCCCCGCCCCCTATGGGGGGGGGCAGATGCGATCAGGGGTGGGCTGGCCAGGGGGAGGGGCTGTGGGCCTATTGAGGTGGGGCTGGTTGATTGGGGGTGGGGCTGTCAGGGCTGGGGGGGAAAGGGAGGTGGCATTTGGCTGGCTGCCCTGCTCTTGATTGGGGTGGGAGAGTCCGATCAGGGGCAGGCAGGCAGGGGGGAGGGCTGTGAGGTTGGCTGGCCGGCCCCACTCCCTGACTGGGCCACTTCACTGGCCACAGTGAGTATCATAGTGACTGGTTATTATGGTCATTACAGTAGCTGGCTTTTTATATATATAGATACCTAATTAGATTGTAATTACTAATTCTCATTGGATTTAATATCAGAATTGGATAAACTTATATATCATGTATAATATCTATTTTCTGCCTCTGTCCACAAATAAGAAACTTTTTCAATTATGAAGAAAAAGAAAAGTATATTTGTACTTAATTTTGGTGAGCAAAATAAAAATACAGCACAAACTCAATTGGCTGATATACTATTGAGATATTTTAAAAGAAACAAACAATGATGAATCATAATTTTTATTACTAAAAAAAGGCCTGCTTTTTTCATTTCTCTAAAATACTGTTGTTTTTCTCCATGTATATGTAGCTATGATAGAACTCAATATTCCTTCAAATATCTAATTGCCCAGATATTGAAGATTAAGATTGATTCTACTCTAGGGAAGATGGCCACAGACTCCTAAATGGGGGGATGGGAGCAGAGGACAGACACAGCAGCAAGTTGGAGATGCTCATCCCATATCCTGGGCTGGTTCAGCATGACTAAGAAGGAAAGGGCTGGCTACAGATGAGACTTCTGCCCTACAGGGTGTCCCTGTGAGGTTCAGAGTGGACCACGTATGTCCCAGCTCAGGATAGATTTGTGACACTTTACACTCCCATCAAAGAGAGACAGTTCAGAATAAAAATATTTTAAATCATTTCTTATGTATGCTATCAGTATTTATTTAAGTACACGTGTTGTATATTTGACTCTAGAGTCCTGATGCACAAAAACCGTGCACTTGGAGGTGTCCCTCAGCCTGGCCTGTGCACTCTTGCAGTCTAAGAACCCTTGGGGGATGTCCAACTGGTGGCTTAGGCTCAGCAGTCGGACATCCTTAGCGCTGGGAGTCTCCTGCCACTGCCAGTGTGCTCGCCAGCCCTGAACCCGGCTTCTGGCTGAGCAGCGCTCCCCCTGTGGGAGTGCACTGACCACTAGGGGCAGCTCCTGCATTGAGCACCTGCCCCCTGGTGGTCAGTATGCATCACAGTAACCAGTTGTTCCGCTGTTCAGTCAATTTGCATATTAGCCTTTTATTATATTGGATAGTCTGTGATTTTACTCTGTTCCATCAATATCACGAAACTCAGGGACCTCATCACATTACACTTTCAAGACTAGAGATTACAATTACCTTTAACCCATTCTTGTACTCAAATCAATAGGTTGGGCCTCTGGAGAACAAAGCTTACAAGGCAGCATGATGTTAACTGGGTTGTAATTACCGGTGGATAATACACACATCAAACCACTTCACAGGTAAAAAAAAAAAAAAAAAAGAGTTGATAATACTGAGCTTACTTTCATGGCATTTAATTCCATAAACATCAATGTTTGGATCGAACTCCCCGGGAGCCAAGGGTGGGGAGCTGTTGAGGGTGTTCCCAGGACTGTCCGGAGGGGTCCCGATGGGGTGGGCGCCATCGCTTTCCCCCTCCTCGTCCCCGTCGTTCTCTTCACACTCCACCTCTTCCTGTTCAGCTCTCTCCACGTCGTGGATTCCCACCAGCAGGCTGTAGTCCATGAGCTTTAACTGGGCAAGAAACTGGAGGGTGGGAGGTGACAGGGTCAGTTAGGCCTCAAGCAAAACCCTGGGTTTAAAGACAACAAGCTCAGAAAAATGCACCCGGGGGAGCTGAGTGAAGGATGGCAAGGAGGGTCTCCTCAGGGGGGGCCAGGAGCCTCCTCTGGGTTCTCCGAGTCCCAGGCCGTTTCTCTGGTCAAAAAATGTAGCCTCAAACTCCAGGCTGGCTCAGTGCTGGTACTATTCTCCCAGAAATGCCGAGCGGGCATGCGCTTATCACGTCTAGACTGGATTTTGCCAAAGAGCAGAGAGAGGATGACAGAAAGAGGCCCTGACGGAGTGAAGAGAACATTTCTCTCAGCAATTAGCACAGCTAATGGGGGAAATCAGGGACCTCCCAAGCGGCTTGCTGCAGAGGCTCTCAGAACAGTTTGGGAGAGCACTTGGAATTCAGCACGCTCCCTGGGGAGACTGTTATCTGTCCATCACAGTGCCTGAAGCCCAAGTGTCCCAGTCAGCCACGACCCGCGTCCACCCTGCGACCGAGGCAGCCCCTCTGCTCTGCTTGTCTCCTGACGGAAGCAGGGCGGCCAGAGATGCCGAGGAGGCTCGCTCTCCGCGAGGAGCACAGGCTCAGGTTCCGGTCCCTCCCTCTCCCTTCCTCTCTCCGAAATCAATAAAAACATATATATGTTTTTATATACATAAAACATATATATATATATATATAAATATATATCTACATATGTAAAACACACATATTTACTTATATAAAACATATATACATATACATTTATGTATATACAATATATGTGTTTTATACATATATAATTATATATACATGTAAATATATGTATATATTTACATATATAAAATACACACACACACACACACACACACACACACACATATATATATATATATATATATATATATATTTTTTTTTTTTTTTTTTTAAGGAATATCCTCTAATTTCCAGGAAGTATGAAGGGCAGGATGCTCACTTGTGGCCCCGGAACCGGGCTAGTTTGGCTCCATCACCTTTCAGGTCGACCTGAACCCTGTCTGCCCCCAGTTACCTCCCACTAAACCTTTGGGTCTCCGCTGCAGGGAAGCCTGTCCCGATCCCGCCCAGGCCACATCCCAAAGCCTGGCATGCATATAGCACTGCACACGTTCCCCTGATGGCGTGGCTCAGTTGCACTTTCATCTGTCAGATCACATGAGCAACTTCTGTCTTTCTCACACACCCAGCCCATGAGGCAGGGGCTCCGGCTGCCTGCCCTCACTGCGTTCCTGCCTTCCAGGGAGTGACGGTAAGCGCTCAGGACCTATTGAACAAGTGAATGAGATGCCTGCTTCTTCTTTCCCTGTCCTCCTTTACTCTCCTGAGTCTCTTCTAACGCCTTTCTCCACAAATAACCACCCCAGCCAAATAAAAAAACAAAACAAAGCAACAACGAAAGTTTTGTTTGAGACTCTAAGTGGTAGCACCTCACAGAAGCAAAAGGAGACCATGTTCAATGTATTTTTGCAGAACAGAATCTCTGTTTAGCATGTGGGTCTATTGTTTGATCTTCAGAGAGTTGACTTTCAAATACACTCTCAAATACAAAAGTAAAGGGGCTGCAATAATTAACTGCTGAGGTTCGGACAGGGAAGGAGTGCCACCTGGGGCTGGGCTGCTGCACCAGCAGGGGACTCCAGGCCCACGCCTTCCCCGGCACCTGTGCTGCTCAGGCAGGTCCTGCACTCCTTTCCTGTGGTCAGACCACTGCGGAGGCCCCTCATCCAGTAAGGAAACAACCGTGTTTAAAAGTGAAGTTAGCTCCCAGTACCACCCACTAAACCACCAGTGAAATGGAAAATGCATCTCTAGATGAGAAGCTGTTCTCACATTCCCAGGAAGATCAAGGAAACCAACTGCAGGCCTAAATGGGTACTATGTACGTTCTCAAGTCTGTGAGCTGAGACAGAAAGGGCAAAGACCAAGAACAGCACAGGGCTTAGGAGCATAGGTTTTTTTCTGATAAGGGACACTCATAGATTCTTCTTTAATTATACCATCAGATATTCTTAAAAATAAAAACTAACAGAGTATAGATTTTGGAGTCCGATAGGAGATTAGATCTTATTTCTCTATCTCAGTGCCTTGACAATGAGTTCACTTCCCTGAGCCTCAGGTATCTACACTAATAAAAGAGAAATATGCAAATTGACAGTCACTTTGTGACACCCACCAGCCAATCAGGCATAATTATGCAAATTAACCTGACAAAGATGGCGGCAGCCCCACCTGCAACTGCTCCAGACCTCTGGGAAGCAAGCATGCAGGCACGGAGCAGCAAAGTGGGGTGGGACGCCTGCTATGAGGGGGAGGGTGGAGGATGGAGGGAGCTACAGGAGCAGTGCTCCGGCCAGAGCAAAGACTGAAGGTGGCGGCCAGAGCAAAGGCCTGGTCCTGGAAGAAAATTGGTACCAGCAGCCAGGGGAAGGAAGGCTATTGCACAAACCTTCGTGCAATGGGCCTCTAGTTGTAACTATAAAATGAGACAATACCACTCAACTCACAGGGTGTGGAAAGGATTACGAGACATAATGTAGCTGAGGCAATGAAACGTGTAACCATGGAAGTTGTTATCATAATTGTCCATGTTGCTATCATCATGGTGAAAGGCCTTTTTTCATCAAGTATGCAATTCAAACCTCAAGTTAGGTGGGCCAGCAGGAGGAATGTGGAAACGCCTGTTGATTCACTGGCTCCTACCTTCACTAACTTTATTTTAAATGTGTTCTGAAGTAGAGTGAAATGAAAAGTGGAGATACACATGAGATTCTTATTAGGAAAGAATATCTGTTGGGTATGACAGAATTCCTGTGGACTGGAAGGAGGCAAGTTGAGAGGACAGAAAAGGGAGTCAAGAGCTCCACTATTAGGGTTTGCCTTCAACTAACAAGGAAATTAGCACATTTGCTCTGTTTCTGTTCATCCCTTTATGCTTTGTCCCAAATTTATTGATTTTTTTTAAGGTACATAAGATTTCAAAGCATGAAGATTTTTAAATCTTTATAATTAATAGATCCCCTGCTTTCCTCCTTTCCAATGTCTTAATAATTACCTGAAGATCTTTGATCCTCCTCCTTTTCCCTCAGAATATCCCATCTAATCTGATTTCTTGACAATTATTTCTCCATTATGCCACATCTTTGAACTAGTATCTTCCTCAGATCTTTACTAGCCCAACCACAAACTTTCCTAAAAATCCATGTGGCAAAGAGCCATCAATAAACTTCCCTTCACAGCCGATTTAAATTCACTCAATTTGTTGACTTCATGAACACATGCGCTTTACTGAATTACCTCTGCACATCTATGACATAGAATTAAAGATCCAACGGGCTGTATTTAAGAGTTATATTTTATTACTTGTTAAAAGTTATAACAATCCTCTTTTGAAGCATTTATCAGAAAACAGAGTCTCATTTTGCTCGCAAACATTTTTAATTTGCATTTTATATCATAGCAGTTTAGGAGTGTGGCTTCTGTCAGCCTCAAATCCCAAACTGAATTTAGTAGTTGCCTGTGCTTGAGCAAATAGACAGTGCCTCTGGACTCAGACTTCTCATCCACAAACTGGGATGATAGCAGCACTCGCCCGCAAGGAGTTGCTATAAGAGCGAAAAGAGATAATGTGGAAGACGTAGGCTCTCCATGATCCACTCATGTTGGCTGCCACCTCTCCCTCCCCCCACTGCCAAGATGGAGAGGTCCTGTGACTGGGCCTTCCCAGACACCACAGAGAGAACACAGTTTTGCGTTGTGTGACATCTGGATCCCAGCGTGAACCGAGGAGGGAGAACAGCCCTGGCTCTTCACCTGCATGATCAGAGTGGGCGACAAGCAGGTCAGAAGGCAATAGCGATTTCACTCTCCATAGAGCAAATTTTATTTTATTTTTTTGAGGAAAAAGGCTCACACACATTTAATCATGTGCAAAGCTATCTGACCTAAAGTACTTTTCATGGCATATGAATAAAATAGGAATTCAAGTAAAAAAAAAAAAAAAAAAAGCAGCTTTACTTTTTTCAACAAAACTAGATTATTGAGCTGTAACATATTCATCTCTTACATTAAGCAATTAGTTAAAACCAAAAACACCCCATTCGCTGGCCTCTTAAAAGGTGAACTCAAACTAACAGGGCAGTCAGCTCAATTAGGAGGCATGGAACTGATGGAAAAAATAAGCTAGATTATATTCTAGCCTCATTGTCAAGATCCGATGTCAAGCTACTGCACCATAATTACCTGCTTAAAAATTTAATGATGCTTCAGCATGAATTTGAAAACGAAAGATACTGTTATCAACCAGAGAATTTTTTAAATGAAAGAAGGCTTTGTGCCCTGCCTCCATTTCAACGAAACAGCCAAGTGTGAGAGCCATGTAAACTACCCAAATCCTCTAATCAGCGACATTATTAGAGACAACAAAAGGACTAAGGGGACCTTTATGTAATTCAACTCTAAATCTGGACTGCTTCAGTTACGTTCTCTCTGGAATCTACCATATAGTGATATACAGCCAACAGAACAAAAGACGACAATTTTTTGGCAGATCACAGTTAACCCTAAGGGCAATTTACCGTACATAATTGCTAAAACAATATTATTTTCAAGATCAAAGATCTGCTGATTAATAAATAAAAATCTAAGAGCGTATGTCTGCCTGTGGTACTTAGTTATCAATTAGATCAAGTTGACCCCAAAGGAAGGGGGAAATGCTTAACTAATATGCATTTTAATAATAACCACTGACAACTGAGGAAAAACAAATGCTTACTTTTTTTTTTTTAACATTTTATTTATTTATTTTAAAATGTATTACAGATGTCACCTTCCCCCTGTCCCCCATTAGCCCTCTCTACCCTGCTCAATAAATGCTCATTAATGAAAGACTGGAGGAAAACTGTTATATGATGAAAACAAACACTTTCATCTACTTTTTAAAAGTAGACGCTTGTATCTTTCTCAAATCACCAATATTTAGGTCCTAGAAGAAGCATATACATCATGTAGGTTAAAATAATGTAAATTTCAAAATTAAAATATTTATGATCTAAATGTAATTATAAACTGACTAGGTCAGTCTGAGTGTTTTGCAATGGAAGAGAAGGTGAGAAGGAAATGGTAATACTGCTTCTGCCTTCAGGGTGACTGATCTAACGCATGACACTCGTTCTGTGGCTCAACTCATCTCAATTGTTTTTGTTTAATGACATGAAAAAGGAAATCTTTCCACAAAACCTCCGAGTAGCAAATTTGTACTGGTAGGAGGGGAACTGATTTTCAAAGTAGAAAATTTTAAAAAAGCCTACACACATACATCTGAACAAAAGGAACAGATTAGAAAAACTTAGTAACTGTCTTGTAACCGAACCCATTTCAAGGAAATAACTTTTTTCCTGAATTTATTTCTAAAACAACCAATAAGACAGTCCAAGGGGGGGGATTGCAATAGCTTTACAATAAACAGAAGGAAAGGAAAGGATATAGTATTTTTAATTCTTAAAATAATATTTAAAAAGAAAACTCCATCATAGACTTAAAGCCCATTTCCCCATACCATTTTATTTTTCACAACCATCCCCCATGACCCGGTGTCCAAACTGCCTTTGAGCTGTTCCTGGAATGTGTATAGCTGGCTTCACGGGCCTAATGGCACTGGTTCCAGAGAGGCTGGTGAAAACATTAAGGCATATAGGGAGCGAGGCTATGTTTACCAATACTGAGATGTGGTTTTGATAAAGAAAACCCCAAATTCAAACGGTTATTAAACATTTGTTTTTGAAATGCTCTGCTGCTTGATAGAATGCAGTCATTCCCCTCCCCCCAACTCAGGGGCCATGGGCAGTCAGTCTGAATGGGCTCTAACGACAGCGGGCTATCCCCACCAACCCGGAGTATCCCCACCGACCTGGAGTATCCCCACCGACCCGGAGTATCCCCACCGACCCGGAGTATCCCCACCGACCCGGAGTATCCCCACCCACCAGGAGCATCCCCACCGACCCGGAGCATCCCCACCGACCCGGAGTATCCCCACCGACACGGGCTCTCCCCACCGGCACGGGCTCTCCCCACCGGCACGGGCTATCCCCGACACAGAGCATGGGAACCAGAGGGTGAAGATATCAGCAGAAGACAGCAGGTACTTTCGTTTTGTTCGTCACCTAAAAGAGGGAGTTGCTGAACCAGCACACTTCTTTTCAAACCACATCACACATGAAATACACTTGTTTATATCTGACTTGGATAATGTACAATATGTATTTTTGCCTTGGTTGCGGATTTACGTCGACGGTTTAAAAAGCTCCTAAAACCCAACCATGTTGACGAGCAGACAATGGGACTGTCCGCTATACTGATTTTCCTTACCTCGACATCCTTTTTCAGTTTCTCCAGGAACACCTTTTTGTTGTCATCATCAATATAAATCTTTTGGCCCTCATTAATGAAATCATTATCCTTTAAAGTTGGCAGTTCTTTGGCCTAAAACAAATGAACGAAAGAATGAGAAAGAAGCTTGACTGAAATCTATTCTAGAGAACACCCACACCTTCTAATCCTGGAGGTTAAGTTTCTACCCCTGGAAATAGAATTTGCCCTGTCCACTACAGGGGTCTTACCCAGGGCACAAATGTGAGGTGGCTTGTGTACCGCAAGGGGGCGCTAGTGAGCTGTTGCTGCTGGAAGCATTCCCACTAGGAATGGAGGGTGAGATGTACACCATATTATAAGGCTTTTGTAACAGAGCTCACGGTTTTCTTAGGAATGAACACGACTGCTTTCTTAGACTCACTTTCTTACAAAAAGTCTTCTAAGTATAGAATTTATATTCTTGGAATTGTCAGGAACCCTCAATTTTCTTACTGGTACAACCCAACTGCACAGCCCCCGCACGTTCTGGGTAGCCTTTGCTGGGGTCAGGTTACAAATAACATGTTATCTTGTCTCAGAAAAACACCATCCATAATCGTATTTAATTTTGCGCGGGGAGACCAGGCAGCCAGAGATTAGCCATCTGCCCTGCCACGCCTGTCTACTCCCACGCAGAAGGAAATCCTGTTTTCATTTGTACAACGTCAAAAGGAAATGTATTAGTTTAGCATAAAACATTCAGGTATGAAGTTCTACCCTTTACAAATAAACAAGAGGATGGTGAGCTGGCAACTGAACTAGACTTAGGTTATACAACACAAAATAATGGCGGCTGTCAAACCATGGGTCTCAAGCAGGGGAAAAACGCTGGCTTGTGCTGCTGTAGGATAATAGAGACATATACATTTAAAATAGTGTGGATAATTCTATTTAACTTTGTGCAACCTGCATTTTGTGAGAGTTGAAGAGCATTCAAAACTCCTCCCCACTCCTTTTAGCTAACCTAGCTGACTTCCAGTTGAAATGAATCCAACATAATATATTTCTTAATATATTATATTCTTAATACATTATATTTAATATATTATATTTAATATATTAATATAGTTAATATAATATGTTTCTTAATATATTAATGAATGCCTGAATGGTTCTCCTTTCCATAGTGTGAACTATATGGAAAAAAAAATCCATGAAAAGAACATATTTTCCTTCTGGTCCCCATCCCTTCACCACCCTTATTCTGAACAATAAAAGAAAACTACCATCTTTCAAACACCTGCTCTGCTCACTTCCCCCCTATGTTAGAAGGTATACACACATGTGTAAACTACTCACATCTATGTGTGCACACACATATGCACACATAGTGTGTAAGTTCAAATTCGTAGCTTTGCTAATGTTGAGAAAATTTGAATAGTTTTGCGATTTTGAATTTGATATAGCTACCACCAAAATAATTACTCTTACAAAACAGGTACAACAAAGCTCAGAAATCCAAAGATCCAATTCACGTATAAGAACGTAAAGATGAGCAGGTCAACATTTCTAGTCTAAAGGCACGAAAGCAAGTGGGCTGAAAACCGGGCAGCGTAAGTACATAAAATGTGCAGGGAAAGAACACGGTTCTTGGGGAGAAGGGGAGGAGACCTGCACATACTTTCATGGCGAGTCACAGAGTCTCAAGGAAATGAAAACATGGCACCTTTCTCCACAAAAACATGAGGGGCCAAATCCCCTCAAGGTGTCATTAATAACTTAAAAATAAAGTAATAAACGTAAAAGAAAACCCTGAAGAGAGCACATTCATGTTAAATGTTTGACTCCATCACACTGGATCCTTCTTTCTTCTTCCAATAGAACTATAAACACAATGGAGTTATACCATGAGGAGAAAGGCAGGATCCACAAGCTCATTCAAGGGGCAGTGAGGCCTGACAAAATACAAAGCCGGAAGGGCCTTAGGAAAAGGGGTGGAAGACAGATGGATGCACAAAAACTGAGGTGGAGAATGACTGTGGTTCTCCGAGTAGACAACCCGGGCATGTCTATGTTTTGGGGTGTATGGGTGTGTGTGTGTGTGTGGGGGGGTTGTTAAAAATAAGAGATCTGCCTTAACTCCACAACTCATTTTCTATGCATAACAAAGAAGGGGAGGGGGCCTTTCTGTGTGAGAGAGAAACCCGGAGGCAGCACACGACACCTGGGCAGATGTCGCCACAGCGGGCACAATAATGCAGATGGATGCAGCCCAGGTTCGCCCTGGCAGCATGACCTCCTGTGACCCGCAAAGCAACACTCTGGACACCCAGGACCACACAGTAAGTGAACGGAACGGCTTATCTGGTTGGATGGAAGGCTCAAGAGGCAAAGGTAGAGCCTCAGCAGGGCAGCTGCCAGAGGAATCCAGCACTGGCCTAAAAACACCCACCCCATTGTGTCCGGGGGATGGCATAGGTTTAGCAGCACCGGGGTTTTGGAGACCTAAATCCTGAGCTTCCAATCCTGGCTCCACCCCTTACTTGCCAGGAGCCAGGGCTGGGTTTTGGACCTTCTCTAGACAGTTGCCTTATACGCAGAACGGGGACAGCACCACCACCACCAGCAGCAGCCTTAGGCCCGTGCTCACGAGCACTAACCAGCATCCGTTTACTTAAGTGCTTCATCTCACTTACTCCCTGCAGCCACCCTAACTGTCATCCTGAAGTGCACTGGACAAGACGGGGAAACAGAGCTTCCATAGATCACACAACGTAACGAGGTCTCACGGCCCAGAAGGGGAGCCTGGCCAGCCAGTTATACGGAGATGGGCACCCAGGCTGTGTGACGCGAAGTCACTTGGCTATCACGTGGAGCTGTTCTGAAAACTCAACCAAAACCTGAGCGACAAATGCAAGCAGCGAGTGGCACTTATCACCATCAGCGCCACCAGCATCTCGGTAAGCGTTCAGTACACTGTGTGGATTTAAAACCGGCTCTGCCTGGCCCACGTGGCTCCGGTGGTTGGAGCGCTGTCCTGCACCCTGAGAGGCGGTGGGTTTGGTGTCCGGTCAGGGCACATGCCCAGGTTTCAGGTTCAATCTCCAGTCAGGGCAAGTGCGGGAGGAAACGGATACATGTTTTTCTCTCCCTCTTCACATCCTCTCTCTAAAAATCAATAACAAACAAACACCCCAAAATAAAAATGGCATTCCAGATTGATAGTGCATACAACATATTTTCTTTTAAAAAGAACTTTACATCAGCCATTCTTTTCTACTAAGAACTAGATGACAAAAAGAAAACCTTACTGCTTACCTTTTTTGTAAAAAAAAAAATGTCAAGCTCTCTCCGATAGTTGCTCTCTCTCTGAGCAACATTTATATTTAACACTCTATTTACAAAAAGAGATGAAAAGTATGACGCTATGAATTAATAAGCCGAAAGCTGCGGTGTCGCGCTGCCCACAAAGGTGGCAAAGGTGAAGCCTGCAAAGCAGCCGGAAGCCACCGCGGGCAGCGATGGGTCTGCCCTTTGCCCTGCAGCACTGGTTACTCGCACTTCGGAGCGCCCTGAAAGCCTCCGAGTCCCTGGGCTGGTTACTTAATGGGCGTCTTTCCTCCTCTTTCTCGTCCCAAGCACAGCCAGCCGGGAGGTGGAAGAAACCGCAGGAGCTAAAGACATCGGGTCAGAAACACTTCTCAACTGTGGGCTCTGCAAGCCTGGCGTCCAGCCAGCAGTCAGCAACCTTTCCAAAGTTAAGTCTTTATTTGTTTTTAATATATTTTATTGTGTGTGTGTGTTTGTGTGTGTGTGTGTGTGTTTGCTTTTTTTTTTTTTTTTTTTTTTTTTTTTTTTACAGAGAGAAAGAGAAAGGGATACAAGGCTAGAAACTTCAGTGAGAGAGAATCATCCATCAGCTGCCTCCTGCACACCCCTACGGGGGATGTGCCCACAACCGAGGTACATGCCCTGGACAGGAATTGAACTCGGGACCTTTCAGTCCCCTGGCCGACGCTCTATTCACTGAACCAAACCGGTTTCGGCCCAAAGTTAAGTCTTTAATTTATCTACTCTGAATTATGTTCTCCCGGCCAGTCCCCTGTGGATTGGGGGCCTCCAGGGTGAGCAGGACGTGCAGTACCACGCACGGCACATGCCCAGGAGGACAGGCAGCGGCCCGGCCCTGGGCGGCAGCCACGCCGGGGCCCCGGGAGCTGCCCGCAGGCCCGGCTGGCAGGGCGAGGCTGCGGCGTTCAGCACAGCCCCAGGCTCACGAGGCAAAGTAACTGTCCCTTTTGCATGAGGTCCTTCTACTGCGGTGAGGTGGGCCCCAAATGGCACCTGTCTCTACCAATGTGGCGTGGACACGCACAAACACGCTACACGCATGAGCAGAGTGACACCGTTCCTCCTGCCGCTTAGCTGTCCCGCTTCCCCTGTTTGGGTAACATTAGCAGGTGAGTGACCCTCACGCTTTCCTGCCGGATGCTGCCAGACCACAGTCCAGGCTTCCCCTTAGGACACAGACAGAAGCCCGAGGTTATGAGCACAGACTAGATGCAGCCACCTGGGTTACCTCTCAGCTCCTCCAGTCCTTAGCTGTGTGAGTTTGAACAAGTTACTGAACCTCTCAGTTGCCTCATCTTTAATTGGGGTTAGCAGTCAGCACCACTCATGTGTGTAAAAAGCTCAGGGCAGAGCTTGCCACATGGAGGGTTCGTCTTGCCATTTGCTTGTCATGGTCCCAAGTGCGGCTTGCAGTGTTTAAAGTAAAGCTAATCAGCGCTAAATCCAGAGCAAGACTAAAAGAAAACCAAACAGGTTGGCGTATGGAACTAGTTGTGATATACTGAACCAGCTGCTTAATGTGCCTGAACCTCCGTTTCCTTATCTATATAATGGGAAGTTAATAATGCCTACCTAATAGGGCTAGCATATGAACTAAATGAAACGAAACATACAGTGTTTGACAATAAGAACTCACTCTATATTAGTTTGTGTCTTAGTTACACATAAGCCATAACAATAGTGTGTTTCTTACTAGTAAAGAATATAGACTTATCCTTTTTTTGTAACCTCCCTGCTTTTTTTAAAGAAATAAGCTCTTAGAACTTGGCATACCAGTAACC